TGAAATGTTCCAGGAATGTGAACGAACTACGTACAACGAAAGATTTCTTGTGGTAGCTCAGTTGTTTGACCTTCCTGTGCCTGAGCAGGAGGCGATAAGTATCATGCCGTATGGTGTTCTCCCCCCCAAAGACACCGCCCTTTCATTGTTGGACTCGCTATTCGCAAGATGTCACTCACTTCTGGCCTTTCTACATGAACAAAGTTTCCGCGAGATGGTCGAGTTTTCCTATGGGTCGACACATTTGCCCGCAACAGCATCAGATCGCTTCATTCCACTGCTCCATTTTGCCTTCGCCTTGGGATATTTGTTTGATTCGAAGCACCATCGGGATAGCGGTTGTGCAGCCGCTCTTGAGGAAGCCACGAAACAGTTTTCTGCGGGTCAAGACAGAATGCGGGCCCCCTACCATACTGATCTGATTTCACTCCAAAGTCTACTCTGTGCTGTTGTGTTCTTGTTCACGACCTCTCGAATCACGTCCGCACATCCCATTATCGGGGTAGCCTGTTCTATGGCTCTGCGCCTTGGACTTCACTCTGGTGCGGCTGAGAAGATTGACCTACCAGCACATGAATGTAGAGCCAGATCCCTAATTTGGGCTTCAGTTCTCAAATTAGACTTGTATGCAAGTCTTGTTTTAGACCTTCCACCGTTTATTCAGAGGGATACGGTGGATCTTACGCCCATCACGATTCTTGCAACTACAAGTGAAGCAGAACGCGACTTCAGAACAGCAATTTCCCTGAAACATCTCATTCTTCTTGATATCACCTGGTCAAATCAGACGTCAGCCATTCTGAAGGATTCAAATGACGGACTTCCACCGTCGATCGATCTCAAGCACTTTGAAGATGCCGAGAGAGAGCTTCAAGAGTGGAAAACGACCCTCTCAACCTTGCTAGCAAAAATGGGGAATGACGAAAAGCATACTCTGTAAGCTGGGATATTCTTGAGAAAGTTTCGCGTGCTGAACCATTATTTAGCATGAAGTACGAGCTCGAGATGAGCTTCAAGTTCGCCCAAATCGTCCTCTTCCGACCTCTTTTGCATTACCTGATAGTCATTGCAGACGGCGGAACGATCTCATTAATGCAGTCACAGCACGCCCTCGCTTGCATCAAGCTGGCCTCGACATCAATTGTGCACTCGGAGATATTGCTTAAGCGCGGAGTATTCTATCTGGGATCGTGGGTAGCAGTCTACACAATATTTTTGTCAGTGATGTGCTTGATTTACCTGATTGCTGCACATAATGGTACCTCACAACCTAGTCAGGCATGGCAAAGAGCTGCACTCGGAATCAGGATAATCGCCGCCTGTAAATGCGTCAACAACTGCGCAGTTGCAGGATTACAAGTGCTGAAGGTACGTGAATTAGCTACCGCCTGGGGAGGAGAATTTCTAATGCCATTAGATGGTTACCCGTGAACTTTCCCACACTGTCGGATTTGACATAGTGCAGCTTGAGTCTTCGGTGACTCGTCTCTGCCAAAGCCAGAACAGCATCGAAGATCAAAATATGTCCCTACGACCACAAGTTCAAATGGCGCCACGCAACCAACAACACGATGTTTTCACGTTCACCCCATTAAGCCAAAGAACAGAGAACGACTCTCTCAGCAATGCTGGCCTGCACAACGAAGCAGATAAGATGCTTGCACAGGCGGAGGAGCTTCAAATGGAATTTGATTTCAGCGACTTACTTAATATAAATGATTTCGAGTAAAATTCTAGCCCCATAGCCTGTAGAAATAAGTTCATGTCCCCCCATGAAAACTAGATTTCATCCCCATACGTTGTTCGGCTTAGACACATAGATATGGATGCTATTATTGGCAATGGTACTAGCCCTAGTTCGATTCCCAACCTATGAAAGCGGACAAAACGATGTTTCCCCAGCCAAGTAGCATGTGAACTTCTCCGCCTACCGTGCTTGGAGCCAAGGACAGTGGTTACGCCGAACACCTAACCGCTAAGACGGAGTTGGGATTTTTCTTGGCAGATGTTTAATTTCCATAGCTCTTTCAGAATCATATTCAAATGCGGCATGGTGAAGACATGACTTATGGCACCAGGCACGCATCTTAAGCAGTAAGATGTTAGGTATGATGTAGTTACAATTCCCCGCTTCCAATCGACTCATACTCAGGGTGGCCTATTTTGACAATTCACTGGGCGCCACGCAGCTCTCAATGCACCTTCAATCTTGGTGACATCAGAAAATTCAAACATTCCTTGGCAGGCCTCAGGGGTTCCAAGTGGTCAGTAGTCTACTTCCTCGGGGTTGATGGAGTTCCGCCAAATAGAGTTATGAGAGCTCCTTCTCCTTCTAATATCTGATTGTCAGCCTACCTGCTTCACCGTGACGCTGGGCTTCTTGCGTATTTATTCCACATTGTTCGCGATTGGGTCTTATCGCACGGGATGTATCTCACACGAAACTCTTTTAACAACTCCACGGGCCTTGCAGAAAATCAAAATGAGACGAAGTCCAACCAGAAACCAAGGGCGACGATTGCACCATATATCATGTTGGCTGCAGTGCTGGGAATAGTCCTTGTATCCCATTTCATGTTCGTCTCCCACGAGAAAGGAATGCACAACCGGATGTTCAGGATAATATTGACCCTGTGTTAGAGTAAAATGGTGGGTAAAGACTCGGCGGCTGGCGGTAGCCTCGCGCATCTCTCAACAAATGACTCAAAATGGTCCTCTGTCAGAGTCACCTAATCGTGCCCAACGCACACGAAACTCACACCGTATTGCCAAACTTAGCATCGAAGATATTGATACCGTCGCACCGGAAATGGATTACAGGGCTCAGAAGATCGTGGTCAAGATACGCGATTCGACGTCTGCACTTGCCGTACAAAATCCCAACACTGCCATCTGTCCACTTCCGAAGGAAAGAGATGCAGATGGATCGATCTCACACAGCGCTTGGTCTTCGCGCGAACAACCAGCAACGTGGAACAACATCTCAACAACCAACAGAACCATCACAGGAATCGGAACCTCCGATCTTGCAACAGCGTCATGTCCAACTCTTGCAGGGTGTTGTATTTGCCTGGAATTCTTCCGAGACGACGATCCTGTCCGTGAAACGGAATGCCATCATGTGCATCATGCGCGCTGTTTAGAAAAGTGGCTCAGGAAATATCGAGCTCGGTGTCCCCTCTGTCAGAGAGCAATAGGTATCTCAAAAGAATCGCAAGCATAAGCTTCAGTTCTAGGCCTCGCGAAATAGGAGTTCTTATTGCTTCGTTAATGGACACAGGTGACACGATCTCTGGCATCTTTGCAAGCTAATCCTTTCAAGCACCGAATTCTGCTTTCAGAGCGAGTAAGCAATTCAACAGGCTTATCGCAAGAGGATGTTAAAATGCTTAAGTCCCGGCCTAGGGTCCAATTCATTGCAACCGTGCTCGTTCGATCTCTGACGTGCTCCTTCTGGAGTCAGGTGTTTTTCGATATAGGTATTGAGTTCTCGAGCCAGTTGGTTTCTCTGAAGGGCATGTGCTGGCTTCCTGAGCCGACTGCTACACCGACCATAGACGCGAGTCTCCATGGGTTCCAAGGTGAGGGGTCCTAGAATGAGGTTCGGGTGGGAAACAGCTGGGAGACGAAGGACAAATTGCTGGGCTCGCCACATATCTCCCTGGCCAGCCTTATGCGTGGATATTTTGAGACACCAGGGGCCAGCACGAAGCTCCGCGCTAGATCGGATAAAACAATGCCTGTACAGATGTCCGGTGCTACATCTCACATTCGCGCAATATTCTAGCTTGGTCACGACTTTTACCATGTCTAACATGCACAGCCTCATCACCCCTTGATCTTCTTTGTGCCTGTCCTTGTGGAATGCTTCTGAGAGGAGTGATGTACGAAACGCTCTGATTATTCGTCCTCTGCGCGCGAGCCATCAACGGCAAAAGAATCCAACTCCCTTGCTTGGTGGAGTAATCCCTGTACGTAGAATTTTACGATGAATACCATGATTGCTGATCATAGCCGAGCCTAAGTAGTGAACGACAGGGTACCCCGCAGGTTAAACCGTTATTAGTTAGCCGTTGGCCTTTGCTTTACCTGGTTACTTGTTTGCTCAAGTAATTTCGTCGTGCCTACCTTCAATCATCCTGTAGGTCGTGCTGAGTTCAAGACATGAATTTGGACATGAGAACGAAGAGCGATGATAACGGTCTCTCCAATGAGAATATCCTTTGCACGCCGCGATATCCGGGAACTATTGTAAGCTTCACTATTATCACCACCTCGCGTTATCTGCATGCTTCATCTAATAAGTTCACCGGCCTTCATTACAAGCCTTACACAGCTATAACCAGTCTCCATATCGTAAAGTGATGGTCAGTCCCTCAAGTCAAGCAGGATCTAGATTGTTTAGCCGTATACATAGTTGTCGTTACCCGTTCTCTTAATCTCTAAAGGCATCCATAATGAAGTCGAGCGCCTTCATCGTTGGTAGCTGCCTCGTACTTCAGTCACTTACTTAATCTATTACATTAATATCGAGTACGGATACGGCCGTAGTAACTTCTACTGCTGCCGACCGCGCTACCAGTAGAATCACATATCAAGACCCATCGAGGACTCTGAACATCACTATCTCGGCCAACCAGGGTTCGACAATCGACTTTTCTAGTACGACAGCTTTTGCAAATGGCACTGCTACTATTTCGAGTTCCGCAACATCTATGAACTCATCCTCATTCAGTGCAACCCAAACCTTGCTTGTTAGGTCATCTAGGACAACCACGTCACTCAACGGTACCGTAACCCGAAACCAGACTTCTTCGGTCACGTCCACGTCGGCTCGACCCACAAATACGAGGCCGTGTAATGGATTTCCAGAGTTTTGTTCACGAAAATATAGCAATATTACTCATGTCGCTGCTCATAACAGCCCGTTCGTGCGTGTAGGGAATATTGCCGCGAACCAGTACCTAGACGTCAAGACTCAACTCAATGATGGTATACGAATGCGTGAGTCCGCATCCGTAGTCTTATCTTCAATCCAACTGATAATCCCGTAGTCCAATTTCAAACACATTTAGAAAACGGCACAGTCTATCTCTGTCACACTAGATGCGATATCCTCACTATCCTTATGGGAAATAACGATGTCATCAATCCACATAACTATACCGCTCCTGTTGTCAACTCCGGCCTCATTGACTTCGTTTATACAGCTCCGACATTACCAATGAGTTTCGACCAATGGCCGACCCTCGCCGAGATGATTTTCAGCAACCAACGCGCAGTCGTCATGCTTGACTACGAAGCCAATCAGGAAGAGATCCCTTGGCTCCTCGATGAGTTCTCGCAGATGTTCGAAACCCCCTTCTCACCGACTGACCGCGATTTTCCCTGTACCGCACAACGTCCCTCCAACCAAGCCCTCCAGACCCGCGACGAGCGTATGTTTATGATGAACCAGAATCTCAACCTTGAGATCTCACTGGGAGGGATCAGTTTTGACATTCCCGCATCCAACCTTGTCAACGAGACAAATGCGATTGAAGGCTACGGTTCCGCAGGAGCGTAACCTTCGTTTGGGTTTCACGAAGATACTGCCATAAATAGCGGGTGGTTTTTCGCGCGAGTTCTTCAGCGGTCCCTCACTCGGCGCGATTATAATTCTGCTGGCGTGGATAGCTCTTTGGCCTACCACCGGCGGAAACCCTGGACATCAAATTCGTACACGCATCTAAGCAGGGGTAATCAAAGCACCAGCTTGGATTCCGGGCTCGACTGCGAAAGCAGAGAGGTTTGCCAAATATCTTCTCTTAAGGCATTGATAGATATCGTGAATGCCCTTCAAAATATCGTAGACGGTCTCTATTTGTACTGACAAATTACTTCTTTCCTAAGTTAGTTAAAATATCAGCAATTACTATGGGACATCTAGACTTTCTCGCGTGTTATTGACTGTTGTGTCTTTGGATGTACGAGCTTCTCAATGCGGGCGGTTGATGTCCCCCATGTGGTAGGGTAAAGCAGCTATCGTTCAGCGCGCTAACTACGGTGCAACACTGGAGCCTCTGCGGGTTAGCCTCAGGGTACAATCCGCTAGATCCATGTCCAATAAATTTCTTGGCGAGCTAGGTCGGCCTCAAC